TCACAAAATATTACATGCTGAGTGAAAGAAGGCAGACAAAAACTGAGTACGTATTCTATGACTCTACTTACATTCATTTTAGAAATTGTAAGCTAACCTGCAGTGATAGAAATGAAGACCAGTGGTTGCAAAGGACAGGTTGGGGGTATTACAAATGGGCACCATGATACTCTTTTGGAGTAAGAGATATGTTCATTCATCTTGATTTTGGTGATAGTTCCAAAGGTGTACATATGTTGAAACCCATCAGACTACACATTTAAAATGTGTGCAGTTGATTGTATGTCAATTCTACCTCAACAGTTTTTTTCTTTTAAAGATTCAAAAAAAAGGGGGGGGGAGAAGAGGGAGAACAAAGAATGTAAGTTTCTAGACAGAATAGGCTAAACTTGGAGGACCTCAGACCCTGAGAAGAGAAAATCTCAAACCAAAGACCATTGAGAAAAAGAGGTATGATTATACTCCACTTAGGAAGAGGACTACATTGAGGCAATGGGCATCCCCACCCCAACTGGCCATGTGAAGGGGAGCCCCTTGAGTGGGCAGAAGAGTGACACAGAGACAAAGACCCAGGAGAAGCAGGAGGAAAGAGAAAGCTGACTGCTTGGGTCTGCACTGAGAAGAGGGAATCCAGGTTTCCCTAGGATGACCCAAGCCAGTTCACCAGTCATAGTAGGCAGGGAGATGGGAGATGAGAATTTAGGGTGAACACGAATATATGGGAGCAGGATTCTCTTAAACTTGTCACAGCTGGTTCTAGATCTGACATCAAAAGCACCAATCCCCAGTATCTTTCTTTACTCCTTTACTGTGTGTGGCCCTTGATGGGGGCCACACACCTGTGGCGATGCAGGCCCAAGGGAGGACAGTGAGAAACAGGTGGAAGCCAGATGAGCAGGGGCAGGCCAGCTGGGAGGCACATCTAGGGGTAGTTTTGGTTGTTGGGTTGAACAGCTCCCCTCCCCCCGCCCCCATGTGTGTCCTGAGCTACTGCGGATGAGACAGTGGAATAAAGAAACCTTGCCGCCCTCAAGGCTCTGACATCAAGGTTGGGGGGGTTGGGCCATCAAGGAGGTTGGGCCACCTGAGACAATGCAAGTTTGTCTAGCAGGATAGCAGGATGCAAGGTCACCAAAGTGTTTCCTTCAGGGACTCCCTCTGGTACCTCAGAGCTCTGACCCCAAAGACAGTTCTTGGTACCATCCAAGCCCGTCCTCTTTGGCTGACACCAAGGGAGAGGTTAAGTTGCTTAAACCCTACGTGAAGGAAAGGCCAGCCTTAGGGTTTAAATGTTGTGTGTTTTTAAATTTGTCTCTAAATTTTCATTGATTATGGAAGGCTGATGGTCAACACATTTTTGAATGAACAACACAGTTCTTCCTTTTGAGTGTTTTGCTGCAGCCATTATTCCATCAAAACAAATGAAAACTAACCCATGTTTGTGAGAAGAGATTTATAAGTAATGGTATGTTGGTTATCTCCTAATTTATTTCTGTCCTTAATACTTACTAGGGAAGCATAAGAGGGGACTTGTCATATAAGAAACCTAGAAGTAGAAGCCTGTTTCCTTCCCTTTTACTTCAATACTTTGTTTTTAGTATTAAAATGAGAAAAAAAAAAACATAGTCTGGTATAAGAAGAAAACCTTTCACAGGTTAGTTACTTAGTAGGCCCTTAGGCAAATCACTTACTTCAGTGGGCCTCAATTTTTGCAATTGTAAAATGAGGGGGTTGGTTTAGGTCTGGGTGTGTGGGTCGAATAAACCAGTCATTCATTCATTCATTCATTTATTCATTCAGTATATGAGACCCTACTGCATCCCAGACACTATCACAAGCACTAGGTAAGAACAATTAAAAGAGAGGCAAGACCTCTACACTACAACCTGATTCTAAAAAGACCAAAAATGAAGGGGAATCAAACAAGATGTCAGGTAGTGATAAGCACTAAGAAAAAATACAAGGAGTGCCTGGGTAAAGTGCCTTACTTTACTTTGGGGAGGGTGGTCAGGGATGTGAGAGCTGAGTAGTCTGGAATGATGGGAAAGAACAAGCCTCTTGATTCCCAGGAAAGGCAACCCTATAGGCAAAACCCTCAGGTGGGAAGAACTCATTTGGTTCTCTTCACAGGTGAACTTACCCCTGTTTTTCATTTTATATACTTCCTCCAGTACTCTGTATTAATTCCATTTATATGTATTTATATACAGCTTTTTGAAGAGAAACAAAAATGGGGCACCTGAGTGGCTGAGTCAGTTGAGCATCTGACTTCTGCTCAAGTCATGATCTCACGGTTTGTGGGTTTGAGCCCCACGTCGGGCTCTGTGCTGACAGCTCAGAGCCTGGAGCCTGCTTTGGATTCTGTATCTCCCTCTCTCTGTCCTTCCCCCACTCACTCTCTGTCTCTTTCTGTCTCTCAAAAATGAAAAAAAATTTTAAAAAATTAAAGAGGAACAAAAAGGAGAACCTGGGTGGCTCAGTCGGTTAAATGTCTGACTCTTGGTTCTGGCTCAGGTCATGATCTCATGGTTCATTAGTTCAAGCCCCACACTAGGGTCTGCACTGGGGGTATGGAGCCTGCTTGAGAGTCTCTCTCCCTATCTCTCAAGTAAATAAATAAACTTAAAAATTTTTTTAAAGAGGAGCAAAAATGTTTGATTTGAACATCTTATTCCAGATAGGCTTTCTTCTCTACATGACTCCTTTGTTATTCTTCAAGTTTCTGTCCGCATAGTTATAAATTCTCCCACTTATCCCAGGCGGGAGTAAACAGGATTTAAGTCAGTGTTTTTTCAAATTTTATGACAAAGACCCATAGTGAGAAATAAATTTTACATCATGACCTAGTGTTTACATAAAACCAAAGCAAGTTTTTAAAACCAAGCTTACTGTTTTATTTCTTTTTTAAATATTAAGGTGATTTCATAGGTAGCTTACAGTATGAGAAAAACACTATTCTAAACTGACACTGACTAGTAATTTTGTTATTAACAAACCAAAAAATGGTAAAATTGATTAAACAGCCTCAAAGTCTCTTCCCTCCCCCTTTTTCTGTACACATACTTGCTTTAAAGAAATGGGTTCCAAATTTCTCTGTGTAACTTGTGGAGGAAATGCCCAGAGGGGGCATTTTCAGGGGGGCCTGGGGTGGAGAGAAGGGAACCCAAATAATGCAAATTGTTCAATAGTTGAGGAGACACCTTGGGTGTCAAAGATTGCCCAAGATAAGATTCACAAAGTCTTCATAATAACAATTGTGTGTGTGTGTGTGTGTGTGTGTGTGTGTGTGTGTGTGTTGGGGGAAGGGATGGTGTTAAGTAATTCATTAAATTTTAAGTTCTTAGAAGCCCCTCACCATAATTCAAGTCTCACATGGAGAGATGTGTAACTGTAGCAATGAATATCAGACCTTGCATTTAGCACATAGCACACACGTGCTCAATAACATTTTGTTTAATAACTTTTAAATAACGGGGTTTGTTGTGATCATCAAATCCTAACTTTGCGTGTATACCAGTTATTATATTCTCCTGGAATGTACAAATGTCATGCAATAGTAAATAGTAAATGCAATGTGCTTATCTTCAAGTCATTGTTTAAGTCCAGGGAGCTTAATCAGGCATTTTTCTCAGGCACTAAGTGGGAAAAGGATGTTTTTCCATTGCAAGGTATAAGAGATAGGATTGGCTGTAATGGAAAGATTCCACGTCTGCTAGTGGCCATGGTAAACAGCTGGGATTAAAATGAGTGTGTTAATTTAATAGGTAGTTTCTCAAGGGACACTAACCAGTGGGCTCTGTCAGCCAAGGGCTCTCTCTGATAGAAACCGTGCCAATTTCTCTGTGAAATGCGGTTACTGTCCTCATCCCTGAAGTCAGAAGTGCATGCACCCAATTTCCGGTAGCCCCGGGGCCCTGGAGCAGAAAAATTACACCTGCAAGCAAGCATTCTCCCACACTGCCACATAGCTGCCACACACGGAAAGCAGCTCATTGCAACCGTGTGCCCTTCAGCCCCATTTAGGGACATCATTAACGATTTCAAATTACAACTGTTGCTTTATCTCAAAACAGTGATAAATAGCGGAGCTACATTCATGACGCTTTCAAGTCATTGATTTGCTCTCCTCTCGGGCGCAAAAAAGATGTTGAGACAAGTGCAAACCTGCCAGAGCTTCTTATTATAGATGGCAGCCCTCCTTCTCTCCCTCTCTCTGTTCCACTTCAGCACCCCTCCCTCTCTGGATTTCCTGAACTGAGGCAGTAGCCTCCGGTAAGGAACTGCAAGTGGCTCCTTCTCAAAACAAGGAGGGCTTCACCAGACAGGCTGAGGCGACCGAGACACTCTCTCACCCTAGCAGGTCAATGCACTCCATTCCCCAGGTCAACAACAGGTCGGGTTTCAGAAAGGAACAAAGTCTTAGGGGAGGACGGTCACCCATTCAAATCCAGGAGCATCTGCTTAAACGCGAGACGGAACAAACCTTGCTGCCATTCCGGAGGTGTGGGCAGGCGAGTGTGAGCGTGTGCACAGGGACAGCCTATATACATGGGCGAGACGTTAGTGGTATCGAAGGGAGACCCACCACGCTCGACAACGCCACAACTATTACGACTTGAAATATTACCCGCAGGGCACTGGCTTCAGTGCCAAAATCTCCCCGGATTTATTTTCAGGCAAGTGACTCACAATCTCGTCTCCATAAGTAATTCCATTAAAATGAGTCGCCAGTTCCACTAAGTCGACTTTCCTCTGCCCTCTGGCTGCCCCTCCCTCCTCTCCGCCCATCCTGCAAACCCTGACAGCTCACAGACTGAGCAACCGTACCCCGCGGGAGCAGAAGGCAGACTCTCAGGCCCGGCCCCCACCCCGGCGGAAGGATGAATGGGGCCGCAGGCGGGTGGGAGCGCCGGGAGCTGGCGTGCGGGCTGCGCGCGCCGTGTGTACGCGTGTGTGTGCGCGTGTGTGTGCGCGTGGGCACGCACCCCCGGCCAACTTACGGAGGTGGAGTTGGTCCTCGCTTGGCCCTGGTTCCGCACCTCCTGCTCCCGGAACTGCAGTCCAGCCAGATGCTTCTCCAGTGCCTCCCAGTCCATAGGGGGCACCGGGGGCTCCTCCGGGACGCACGTCCCGCCGTCCGTGGGCTGAAGGCAGAGGACCCCAGTTGCCGGACCCCGGCCGCCGCGTCGACCGCGCGCTGGCTGGGGCTTCTGGACCGCCCGGCGGGGGCCCCGAGAACCGCTGGGCCGGCCGGCCAACACCACCACGTTGCCATTGTGCCTGAGGTCCTGGGGGTCGTGCGGGTGGAGGTTGCCGTTGGGCACGGGGGGCGGCATGGCAGTGGTGGCGCTCTTGCCGCCGCCGCCGCCGCCGCGGGTCCTGGCGCTCACGTCCCCCGGCTCCCGGGCCGGACAGCGGTCATCCCGGTAGCCCCGCTGGGCGCGCTCGTCTTCCTCTTCCTCCTCCTCCGCGTCCTCCTCCGGCGCCCACTCATCAATCACCTTCTTCTGGTAGACCGGGAAGGGCTCCTCATAGTCCTCCAGGGCAGACACCAAGTCCAGGCTGCCCCCCGGCGACGACGAGGATTTGCACTCGGAGCAAGGGGTCACTTTGGTGGAGTTGGACTGAGAGCTGGCGCGGCTGCTGCTGCTGCTGCCGGCGTCACTGCCTAGATCCATCCCATCCTCTCGGTAATCCTAGGGGGGAGGAGGCAGAGAGTGAGCTGCCCGGCGGAGCCTGCTCCGGGCCCCCGCCACCCGCCGCAAGCACCCCGGCCCAGTGCCCCGCGCCTGCCTGGTCGGAGGTGCGCCCCCAAGGAGGCCTGGGGACCAGCGCCCGCACCAGCCTGAGGCTTCCATTCGCCCACCCGCCCTCCCTGCCACAACCATACTTCCTCCCCGTATAACTAACCCTCAGATTAGCAAAGGGGGTGCCCAGCCACCGGCGCTCACACTTTCCGTAAGAGGGGCCCCGGGGCGCGCAGGGACTTTGTTGTAACCATTTTGCGCCTGGAGCGCCCCTGCACCCCGCCCCAAGGATTCTCTGAGAATCCTACACTTTCCCAGAGAATTATAATTCCCTGGGGGCGGGACCGAGAAGAGGGTGGGCGGCTACTGAATTCACACCTCTTTCGGGGCGCCGAGACCACTCCCCACCCGGCCCCGCCTCGCCCCGCCCCCGCCGGCGGCTGGGAGCCGGCGCGGTTCGCCTGCTGAGCTTTACTTTCTAAGGAACCGAAGGCAGCTCGGAGGTCTCGCTCCCGCCTCCGCGCCTCCCCGACCGGCCCCCCCTCGGCTCGCCGGAAGGCTCGGGGTGGGTGGCGCTCTCAGCTTTCGCAGGCGAGGGTGGCTCTCGCCGCCCCCGAAGGTGTGCTGGGCCGGGGCGCGGCGGCAGTAGCTGCAGGCGCCGCCGCCGCCCTGGGGGAGGGAGGACGCGCCCTCGCGGCGGCGGAGCGGGTCCCGCCACCGAGCATGCCCAGAGGCTGCCGGGCGCGGCGCGGTCCGTTCTCCCGGTTTTCGCGGCAGCAGTCTGAGGCGGGAAGCGGGCGGGCATGGGGTCAGAGAGGTCGGGAAAAAGCCGAGGAAAGGGGCACGGGGTATTAGAGATGCAGATCCGACCAATTAGCAGGGGCGGTACCCTGGGGAGGGTGGCGGATGTTAACCGCCAGACACACAAATATTTTCTGGGCGCGTTTCAAGCCCTCTTTTCGCGGCTCCTTATCCTGCCTTAGCCTCCCGGCACCCCAAAGCGCGGGCGCGGCGCAGGCTAACCCACGCGGAAGTCCCCGGCTGATCCGGTGAAGGACCTCCCTACTCCCCCCCCCCGCCCCACGCGCACAGACACTAGCCCTTGTGGGAGCCCGAAGTGACGTGTGCTCGGTGGTCATGCACCATCATTTCCCTTCCACCTTCCTCGGCCACTTCCTCTCCCTCCACCGCCCAGCTCCAGTCGCCTTGCCCGCTCCCCTTCCAAGTTCAGGCAGTGGGCGGAACCTGTTGCTTTAGCTCCCGCTTCCTTCCCGCTCCCGGCTGCCCGCTGAGGTTGACCTCAGAGAGATGTGTGTATGGGGAATGGAGAGCTAAGTGTAAGATGGGACTGATATCTGAAACGCTGGTGGAGAATCTGTTGTAAAGGTTTAGGCGAACCTCTAAAGACCCCGTCGGCCGCCTCCAGTCAAGGAGACAGTAAAGGAGGGGAAGAGGTGGGTATCAGGTGACCTGGTCCTGGCACTTGCACTGACTTTGAGTCCTTAAATTTTTCTGGAAGCCTAGTCAAAGAAACCTATGCTGGTTTTTTCAGAATGCACACTTGTCCCCTTAATTTGGCAGTTCATCTCATTAGGAACAAGGCTCCTTGAAGTGAAGATACCAACACTTGGAAAGCATAGATGGGTCACAGAGCACCTTTTCAGGATTAGGAATTTCCTATGAACCAACCAGTGTTGACTTGTAAGAACTGGGAAACAAGGAAATGCCCTTTTGCATGTTTCACACACACACACACACACACACACACACACACACAGGTGAGGTGATCCTTACACACCGTGTGCTTGCCTCAAATAACCATAGCATGCATTTTAAATATTTTACAATTGTTTATGTCAATTATGCCTCAATAAAAAAATTATGCCTCAAAAAAATTCAAAAAGAAAAAAAAAACCCCTAGCACTTAATTTTACAACGGATTGGGGAAAACCAGTTTCCCTGAACTTCCAGATTTGGCCTGTTACTAATTATTCCCAGTGAATTCAAGCTTGGACCAGGCCACTCTCCTGGCTTTGAACCCTCCAGAAGAAAGAACAGGGGAATGCTTGGAATTCTTTAGTAGGGAGTGGCTGCCACCCTGACTTTTCTTCTAGGTCCTAAGTGGGACTTGGTGCAGAGACCCTTTGTTGACCCTTTGTTTCAGTGATTTCAGTGAAGTGTGACTGACTCCAGTCCTAGGTAGGCCTGAGCCAGGGAAGATAAACTAATCTTTTAACTTGCCTGGAAGCAGTAATCTTAATGAATACAGGCAAAGGGGCCTCTGGTCTGACCGTCACAGCTCTTCTGTAAAAAAGGACTGATTATAATTTCAAATGTCTTTTATGGTAACATCTGTAAACAGCCTGCCTTGTACTCCAAATATGGTTTGATTCTGAGCTTGCTGTGAAGCCCTGGGTCAGCTGGCTCCCCCCGCCCCCCATCCCCCCAGGCTGTGGGATGGTGGTGGCCCTCAAAGTGTTTGGAGAAGTGGGTAGGAAGCGCCAAGTGCTGAGAACTAGATAGCTGCTTTTCAGATCACCACATGACTTGGCAAGGGTTAGGTCAGGAAAAGCTCACTGCTCTAGGGCAGGACACAGGTAGACAGATAAGTATTGATCAACCAGGGTGATAAAGAGTTTCGGTCTCACTCCCAATATTTAAGCCTTAGGAACTCCTCAGCCACCCACCCAGACTCCTTCCTGGGCTCCTACTTATTCCCCCTGCTGCCCAGATGGTCTGTGTTCAGGGAATGCAAAATAAGGCCTTAGAAAAAAACATTTGGCAAGGTAAATCCACTGCCAAAAATGCATGGCATTTCCAAGCCAAATATCTCTGAATTATCTGTCCTTTTAAATAATTTTCTGACCAGATATTCTGGATCAGATGGGAAAGTACCAGGTTTCCTTTTTTCTTTTCTCTTCATGCAAGGTGCCTGGCTAGCCCAGTTTCCATTCTGTTTCCAGCCTTCCATCTCCTGCCAAGAACTGTCCCATTTTGGAACAGAAAGCCCTGCCAATTCCTAGGCCGGCGACAGTCTACAGATATGTCCAGCAGGATGGAGAGATGATTTGGAAAGTGATTGAAAGGTCCTGTCTTCCTGTTTATAGGACCGTGTCCTCAGGTTAGGAGCTTGAGGCTTACACACTTAGATTTTGTCCCCTGCAACCTTTGTAAATTAGACATCAGAGATGTGAGTCAAGTGGGTGTCATCGCAGAGCAGCACCTTCCCCCATCAATCACCAAGTCCTGTCCCTCTTGAACACCCACTGCTCCCGCCCCAGTCTAGGCCACTGTGTCCTGAAATTACTGAACAGTCTCCCTACTACCTATGCCCATTCTCTGCATGCAGTCAGAGTGCCTTTCTGCAATGCAAGTCTCTCCTGGCTCCATTAAAGCCCCTTGGCTCCTTACTGTCTAAAGGAACTGCTTCCTGCCCACCCTCCCCCCACTTCTTTTGGCAAATTTCTACTCATCCTTTATGTCTGGGCTTAAATGTCACTTCCTCCTGGAAGGCTCCTGATTCTCTGTACCACCCACCTGAAGGGGAGCAGGTAACTTTCCCATGCTCCTGAGACACTGCACTCATCATAAACGCTGCATCAAGGTTGCTGTTTAATTGCTTGTCTTCTCTACTAGGCTCAAGAAAACCATTTGCTGTCAAGACTCAGGCCACACATACATATAAAAATATTTAAAAGTTTCATAAAACCCTTATTTTGTAAAATCCTGTCCTAATTCATTTAAAACAAAATCTGCCCACACTTCACCATTGACTCTATAACCCTTAAGTGGATCAGAGCTCCTACTGGGAAAAAAATACTCTAAAGGAGTAAATACACTAAGGAAGGAGCTATTTCTCTATTTTGTCCAGAGTAACTAGAATGGAATAGAAGCTTCATCAATATTTGTTGTTGGAGGGCGCTCAGTCAGTTAAGTGGTTAAGAGTTTGATTTCAGCTCAGGTCATGATCTCATGGTTCGGGAGTTCAAACCTTGTATGGGGCTCTCTGCTATCAGTGCAGAGCCCATTTCAGATCCTCTGTCCACCCTCCCCCACCCCCCACACCTCCCCAGCTCATGCTCTCTCTCTCTCAAAAATAAGTAAACATTAAACAATATATTTGATGCTGGGATTATTAATAATAACATTTAATTCATTTAATTCGCAGAAACTCTATGAAGAAACTAGTATCCCCATTTATAGTTGAGATTGCTGAAGATAGTAAGATTAAGTAACATGGCCTTATGCCAAAGAGCTGGAAAGCCTAGGTGGTATAGCCAGGATTTGGACCCAGGTAGCTTGGCTTCAGAATCTTGGCTGCTAGTCACCCAGTGAAAGGCTCAGTGCCCTCTGGTCTGCATGCATATGGATAAATTTACTGAGCAACATGTCAGAAAGGGCCTCTTTGCAGCAAGTTCAAAGGAGTTCTGAGTCTTCTGCCTTGCAGAGGCTCCTTGGGCAGTATTTCTGTCTATGCAGAGGAGAAGGCAGCTGGCAAGAGCAGCTGTTCCCCGGTGCACACATGTGCTCCACCTCCTCAACTGTCAACAAGTTCAGCGATATTCAGCATGCTGGGAGACTTAATTGTGTAAGGGAAGAGTATAGACACCTCAGAAAATGAAATTTCCAATTGTTGTGAACTTCATCTTTTTAAGTCCCCGCCCCCAAAGCAAATCCTTTCAGAAGGTAGCCACCATGAGATTGCGATTTTCATTTTTGTCATGAACAGGAAACTGGAATAATACTCCAAGGGTAGGGATGACGGCATGTTCCTCGGAGGTCAGTGCTATTTATAGGACATTAATCTGTAAAGGCAACATTTGAGGAAAGACATGACTGAAATACTTAGATCGTAAGGAGTATAGAGAGCTGAGAAAAAAAGTTTATTTGCAAAAGTCCCAAACGAATTTTAAAATTATTGCCCCTAACACTGAGTTAGTTGTGGCATTTAGAGTGATAAAGAAATGGCTGGCAAAGAGGTTTGTATTTCATCTTTATTACATGAATTACATGCAAGTCACATGCAGTACACAGATGCTCTCCCATTTCACCACCTGAATTTAACTACATGGTAATATTTAACAGCACTGTGGGGCCAAGTGTCCTGGATATAGAACATCTGGGCTTAGTTTCCAGCCCTGTCTCTTACCAACTTCGTGACCTCAGTTTCCTCATGAAGGCAACTAGACTGCATGATCATGATGTTAAGCAAATAGTCAGACTTATGAGTAAGTGAATGAACTAAAAGCCTTCTTTCAGCTTAAAGACCCTTTGGATTTCATCCTAGATATTATGGGAAATATGGTATAAAACTGTCTCTGAATGGCTTCATCACCTTCCCTATTGGGAGATACAAAG